CACATAGTACTTTGGGGAGAAAGAAAAATCACAGGAACTCCCTTCATATTGAGGATTTATTTAAAAGCACAACTCCAGAGGATGTCCTGAGGTCAGTATACATTAATGGTTTCGCTATCCCTGAGTCCTGCTATCTGCAATGCTATTAAATATTTAGGGCACTGGGTCTTTCCATCTATCCTATAACTAAACCCTTCTATATGTGTTGTCTTCCACAATTAGAGTATGAGCTCTGTGAGAGAAGGAACTGACTCTTTTTTTTTCTATTTGCATCTATAATACCCAGCACAGCTCAGCATACAGCAAGCATTTAATAAATGCTTTTTTTATTTGCTCTTACATTTTTCTGACTGTATTCTATGCAAGGAGTATTGAAATTTATTATAATGACCTTAACATACTGTAAGAGCTTTAGTCATCTAAGATTTCAAAGATGCTCAGTATTCTCTATTTAATAAGGCAGGAAGTTGTGTTAACATATTTTAGGATGAAGTTGGACCCCTCAGCTATCCAGAAAATTCAATGAACCAGAACATTCTGATCTTCAAGCATTAAATTCATTGAGTTTTTGGTATATTATAGGGAGGCTTAGAAATATCATATGTAAAATAAAGAAGTAGATGACCACTAGGTTCATTTCCATCTGTGAAATAAAAACATTTAGAGTTCTAAATCTATATGATCCTATGAATTTATTGCAATAAGTATGTATATATATATATACATATATGTGTGTACATATACACATATATATGTGTATATGTGTATACACATATATACATGTGTGTATGTGTTTAGGTGTGTAATATCATATACTAATAATATATGTGTATATATAACATATAATAATAATATAAATAAATACATATAAATAACAGAACATAGAAGCAGCTAGGAGGCACAGTGGATAGAATGCTGACCCTCAAATCAGGAGGATCTGAGTTCAAATTTGACCTTAGACATTTAGTAGCTGTGTGACCCTAGGCAAATCACTTAACCCTGTTTGCCTCAGTTTCGTGACCTATAAAATGAGCTGGAGAATGAAATGGCAAATCATGCCAGTATCTTTGCCAAGATAACCCCAAACTGGGTCACCAAGAGTCAGATACAGCTGAAAAACGACTGAACAACAAAATTATTATACATACACACATATAGTAGCCTCAGAAAATATTTGTTAATTTGAATAAATGATTAAAAATAATTTCAACTGTTGATGTCACTTTAGACCAACCTAACATTTTCACAGTTGCAGATTTCCATTGTTTTTATTCATGAATCTGAGTTTTTAGATAAACATCTTTGCTTATCTACTTAGTGAACTGAAAAAATTTCAGATTTTCCCAGTCCTTAAAATTCCCAAATTTTGCATAATGTTTCATACAGATATTTCATACAAAACTTTTATCTCAAGTAAACTTTTTTGAGCATTAACTATTCAATTCCATACAATTTCTAGTTTTTGGAATTAAATAATACATAATTCTTACAAATATTTTTGTTCTTTTTGTTGCTGTTGACTTGCTGGATTTACCAAATCCTGGGTGTACAGGCCTAGATATTCCTGAATTATCTCTACATATTTTTATCTGGGAGCAAATATAATTGGGAGCACATCTGTATTTTCCCAGGCAGTGACAGTGAGTAGTGGAATGAGTATTGGACCATGACCAAGAGTTTGGGGTTCTAGTGTGGGTTTTGTCATCCATAGTTATCTTCTCTGGGCCTCATAAAATGAGGGAGTTGGACTAGATCAGAAGTTCTTAACACTTTGTTTTAACAGGACTCCTTCAGCATGCTAACCAAGCCTACGGCTCCCTTCTCAGAATAATGTGCTTTTTTTTAAATGCCTAAAATGAAATACATGGGAGTACAAAGAAAATCAATTATATTAAAATACCCTTACTAAAAACATTTTTAAGTTCACAGACACTAAGTAAAGAACCCCTGGACTAAATCATCTCTAAAGTCCTTTCAGCTCTAAAATTCCATACTCACAGGGGCCTTGCTCCTCAATTTGTCTGCAACATAATGTTTCCCAAACGTTTTCAATCTATAACATACCTGTGACCTTGCTTGAACACAACAGAGAAGGGGGACCAGGAACTTTCCTTCTCTTATTTGTCAAGTCATCCATTAGTCTAACTATCTGTCCATCTTTCCTTCTTATTAGACCTCCCTCTCTCTCTCTCTTTCTCTCTCTCTCTCTCTCTCTCTCTCTCTCTCTCTCTCTCTCTCTCTCTGTCATTCTCTCTCTCTCAGTTTTTCTCTCTCTCACACACACACACCCACATGCACACACACACACACACACACACACCATTCATCTTTTCACCTCTTTAGCAACAGCAGCAGAATCTTCAGCAAACATTAGCAAAGGGGAGAATGACAAGGTACCATAAGGATCTTTCTTTTTTTCAATATATCAAGATGTCCCTAGACACTGGTTGGACCCTTGCATTACCCCTTTCCCCTATCTCTTTCCCACTGTATGAACAGAGCTCCTCTCCAAGGAATAGTAAGAATGTCTTTCTCTAGGCTCTGTGAAAAAAAAAAAAAGCTTTGGCAGGAGTTGGGTGAGGTAAGGTAGGTGCAAAGGAGAATAGGAGGACCTTTTTTTTAGAGGTTTTGCTAAATAGTTTCTGTCTTTTTGAATCTCTGCCTGCAGATGGGATCAACACTAGAAGCCACCTAATTACTAATGATTCAGCTCACCTCAGGAGTAGCGATAATACTCTACAATAACACCAATCAATCCATCAAACAGCATTCATTCAAAGGCCGCTGTGTGTCATGAATTGTCCCTGGTGTAGGGACTCAAAGACAAAAGTGAAACCTTTCTTGGACTCAAGGGGCTTCCATTCCATGGGAGAGACCATATGTGTGTGCCTAGGTCTATACAGGACCAATATAAAATAAATACAGTCATTTAGGGAGCAGCGGCGCTAGCAGTTGGGAGGAGTGTTGTGAGATTTCCTATAGAGGATGGTAGCGCTTGAACTGAATCTTGAAAGAAGGGAGGGACTTTTTCAGGTGGAGGCGAGGAGGGAGTGCACTCCTGGCATGGATGGCATCCTTAGGACAAAGAAGATGGCACAGCATGTTCAATGAACAGCAAGAAGCCCTGCCTGTTTGGCTAGACCACAGAATGCAAGAAGGGGAGTGAAGTATAATAAGGCTAGAAAGGGAAGTGGGGCCCAGGTTGTAAAGTTCTTTAAAAGCCAAATAAAAGAGTTTATATTTGATCCAAGAGTCAATGGGGAACTACTGGGTTTTATGAGGTAATAGTTAGATCTGTGCTTACAGAAAATCACCTCACAGGTGAGTGAAGGTTAGAATGAAATGGGAAGAGGCTTGGGGCAGGAAGACCAATTAGGAGGCTGTCGTAATAGTCTAAGTGAGAGGTGATGAGAGTCTGAATTAAGTTGGTGCATGTGGGGGTGGAGGGAAGAGGACAGACAGATGAAAAGTATGTATGGAAGTAAAAATGGCAAGATTTGGCAACTGACCTGGATATGTGAACTGAATGGTTGTGACCTTCAGCCAGAGAAACCCCATCCCTGGATGGGAAGAGCAAGAGTCAGGGAGGAATCCCAACATGCTGTGAAACCAGGATTCCCAACTTAAGCATAATGGACCCCTGGAGGGAACTAGAATTCATTATATGGGATGGCTTCACAAATCCAGATAACACATCAAGCACCAACCTTTTTATCTTTATTTAGTTCCAACAAAACATACATGTGCCTCAGCATAATGAAAGTGTAAACACACTTTATGTAAACTGAGTAATAGAAACATTACTATTTTTCAAATGCGTGTAGATGATTCTGTAACCAACAAAATGCAAACTCTATTTTAAGCAGCAGTTTTTTGTCCTCATGTATTTTCTGAAACAACGAATACCAATAGTACAACTACCATCTTGTGGAGGTCTGTGGAAATTTTTTTTTTTTCTCATTTAAAAAGGGATCCTTGTGGTCAGAAAATGGAGAACCAATTTCAGGCACAATCTTAGGGAGGAGGAAATGCCAGCACCTAAAAAAAAAGGCAGATGGAACCTTCATAAAGATTTCTTGTGTTCTAGGTACCCAGGCTATGTCTTCTCCTCATTTGTCATTACCGGATGTAAGCTCCCTGAGGTCCTCTCCTGTTCTCATCTTCCATTTTTATCAAATGTAAGCTCCTAAAGGGCAACAACTATCTTCGAATCAGTAAGTAGTTTAGTGTTTGGTACATAGTAGGGTTTTATAAATGTTTGTTCAATTTCTATCAGTGGACATGTTGAAACCACACTCATGTAACTTGTATGGGGTCATTTTCAAATGCAATCTCCTAGAGAGCAGAGACTTTCATTTTTCTTTCTACGCCTTAGTGCCGGGCACATAGTAGGGGCTTAAGAAATGTTTATTGAGGGGCAGCTAGGTGGCGCAGTGGATAGAGCACTAGCCCTGAAGTCAGGAGGACCTGAGTTCAAATCCGGCCTCAGACCAAACACTTGACACTTACTAGCTGTGTGACCCTGGGCAAGTCACTTAACCCCAATTGCCTTAAAAAAAAAAAGTGTGTTGAATTTAATTGAAGAATTCCATCAATGACCATTTAAAGATGACATTCATGTAACTTAGCAGTTAAAACTTGCCCGAACTTAACTGCTAAAATGAAACTTTTTTGAATAGGATTATACTCCACTCCCCAACCTTGGACGTGCTCAGTTGTTTATAACCCGTCAAACAGGCTGCGTAAAAAAAAAAACGGCGGAGATTTTCTCTCTTACAACACTAAGCATTCAGAATTTTCAAACCTGAAAAACAATTCCAATACCACAGGCCCCGCTCCCACAGCTGCTTCCCCGACATGGCTTCTAGGGTGTCTGTAATATCGTTCTGAGTCATCAAGTATCTCTGAAGTGCCTCAACCTCCACTCTTGCCATCTTAAATGGCATTGCTTTAAGGAACCACTTGTAATTTCTTGCCTGCTAAATGAGAACATTCTGACGATGTTCAGCCTGGAAGACTCAGTCTGTGCGGCAATGCACAGTCGCAAGAAGGCTGGGTCTTTAGAGATGGTGAGAAAGTGGCTTTATATCAGTTCCAGGGTTTTATCTCCCCTCAAATGCATATGGACTCGCAGCACGCACCCGGCAATACTGCACTTATACGGTCATTGAATATCCTGCAGTGTACTTCTTAATTAAAACCAGCATCACAAAATATGATTGCTTAAGTGCCAAAAACCTGGCCTGTTTAATGGCCAATCAGGGCACGACATGATCATTAAATCAATTTCCAAGCATTTTTTTTCCTAAGGTGAATACAATTGGGCTTTAAATGTCCTTATTTTCCCCCCTTCCAGCTTTCACAGTACAATGCTGCTGTCTCTCTCGGCTTTGCAGCCTCCATTTCACCATCATCATCAGAAATTAACCCTATGCGGTAGGATTAGGGATTTTATTTTTTTTTTATCATACTAGACTACAAGCAGCACCCAGGAGTGAGGAATAATTTGAGTCAACGACACATCCACTGTTGCTTAGTAACCCGAGCTGATGGATAAAGCCATAAATTGCAAAATTTCATAGAAACATAAAAACTTTTACTGGCACTTAAGCATATTTTTCCCTGATTGAGGCAGAATTCATGCAACAATTACACAAGCCCCGACAAAGGCTGGTAATGATTAGCCTTCAAGAGCGGCTGTTACTCCCTGACAGTTCCCGAGCTGTTTTTGTTTGTTTCAGGAAAGCAAGCATCAAATCCTTTATGGACTATCCACACTGCCAAGGCAGAATAGAGCCTGGTAATTAGCCAGTGTCAGCATTTTAACTAAAGCTCCTGCAAAAGAATTGAGGACTTATGTAATAATTTACAATCCTAATTAATTCCTGTCAACCCAAAGCAGTTGTTTTAAAAGTAGCAATACATCCTTGAGAGCCCTGCCCCTCCTATTATACCACACAAAGGTGGCAAACTGGGAATAGGGGGGGTTGCATCCTGGAGGACATGCTAGCTGAAGCTAGGCCCCAAAAGATAAAAGTAAGAAGTCAGGAAGGTAATTTTCATTTGCTCTAACAAATGTTTTAGTGAAGTCTTCTTAGCTCTCTCTGCCAACAATACAAAATTCTGTTCTCCCAGAGCCCAATGGATGCTCTTTTCACTGTTAACTCAATACTAGCAAGTAATCTATGAGCTGAACTTATCATATAGTTTAAAAGAAAAACAAGCTGTACATAATAGAAATCTGCAGTTTCCTGTGTCATCCTCTTTTTCTATTCCACTCTTTATATGAAAATGTCTGTCAGTTTGGAATTTTTTTTTAAAAAAATGAGAAAAAATGCTAGCAGCTAACATTTATGGACTGTTAGTCTGCAAAGTGCTTTACATAGATTATCTAAATTGATCTACCAGACAACCCTTTTTGGTATTCTTAGTCCCATTTTGCAGATGGAAAAAGTGAGAATTAAAAGACAAAGTCTCTTGTCAGGGTCTTGAGATAGGAGTCCACTCCAGATCTTACTGACTCCAGATCTAATACACTCCATCTGTCATGTGTCTCTCAAGAGAGCTCATAGGATAAAAGGCAGTGCAGTTTGATGGATAGAGAGCTGGTGTTACAGTTGAAAAGATCTGGGTTCACATCTCACTTCTGCTCCATACTGGTTTTGTGATCCCGGTAAATCACTTCACACCTATTATCCTCAACTTTGACATCTGTAAAATGGAAAAAATATTTACCACACAGGGTTATTAGAAGACTCAAATAAGAAAACGGATATAAAGAACTTTACAAACTTCATACCACTTCATAAATATTAATTGCTAGTATTTTGCAACTGACTAGGCAATCCTGGGTAAATCACTTGGCCTCTCGGTGCTCTAGCAATGATCTATAGAACAGTCGCCCATATGCATTGGTAGAGGGAGATTCCTCACTGGAGAGCTCCCTAAACCAATTAAATCACTTGTGCAAGCAAAGAATCTAAAAAATAGAACTTGTGGCTTCTCAGCTCAAATCTAACTTTTTTTATGCTTAATACTTGTGCGAACCTGGACAAGTCACTTAACCTCCTTGGGTCTCAGTTTCCTCATCTGTAAAATGAGAAAGTCCTCTAAAGTCCCTTGCACATCTAGAACCATGATCTTATGGTCTTATGTCATGATTCATATTAATAGTTAGGTTGTAATATATCAGGATCACTGCAACTGAGGCACCATCTGCCATGGTTTATTCACCGTCATCGATGGATGTCATAGGCTACCCGATGCAGATGTGCACTTCCAGGAACAATGATTTATCACATCCTGGTTCAAAACTATTTTGATGCACATACATACATAGACGCACGCGCGTGTGCGTGCACACGCACACACATGCACACACTATGATGAACAATATCATTTTAATTCCTAGCTAATGGAACATATATTTTGATGAACATATGCTACGATTGAATTATCCAGTACTGAAAGATTCCTACTACAAAGGAAATTGAAGAACATATTCTTTCACCCTTTCCCAACTTTTCCTTCTCAAGCTCTACCTTGAATGAAAAGGCAGGGCCATTGCTGCTTGTTAACACTTAACAAATGATGGAGACATCACAATAAACTCTGAGTGCTTCCTTTAGGTGGAAGGGACTTTGAAGGCCATCTAGTACACCGCTCTCATTTTACAAATGAGGAAACTGAAGCCAAGGGAGGTTAAGCAACTAGTCCATATTTGCATAGGTATTAAGCATAAGGAATTATATTTAAGCCCAGGAACCATCAGCTTTGGTTTATTTTTAGATTGTTTTCTTGCAACAGGACTCTCAAGGAACCACTAAGAAATCTGTTCTACTGAGGCTTGTCCTATGGATGTAATTATTTTGGTGCTGAATTTCCTGTAGGCCCTAATTGATTCTCCCTTCTATAATATGCAGTCAATCTCTTGCTTAGTTTGCTTTCTCAGACTAATATGGCAACCTATAGTACCCTTGCAGAGATCAGGTGGTTACAGGAAAGGATGAAACTGGACAAAGCCCAAAGCAAAAAGATAGGTAGACCTGTTTCCAAATACAGTAAACCCAGGTAAGAAAAATCTGTCTTCTAATAAAATCCTAGACATAGGGAAAACTATTAGTTGTCTCACTGAAATACGTTTTTGAGTCTAATGATTGGTGATCTCACGTTTAACAAGCTGCATGACCCTGAACAAGTCACTTCACTTTCAACTTCCTTCATTGTAAAATGAAGGTGCTGAATGAGAAGTCCTCCTCACCTCGATACCCTCTGACCGTAAGTCAAGCCCTTACATCCAGTAAAGCCCTGCGAAGGCAGGTTGCAGAATATTTTAGGACAATGACATGTAGCTTCCTATTTTCTTATACTCTCACTAGAATGATGCAAGCGATCAAATGAGCTACTATATGTAACATGCTTTATAAACCCCCACTCTGTCACATACTAACTATGTGACCCTGGACAAGTCACTTCACTTCTCCACAGTTCTCCAAGTTGCAGAGACTTGCATTGGTGGAGAGAGCTTCCTCACCCAGGAGTTCTTTCTACCAGTCAATTCACAGATCCTTTCACTACCCCTACCTGTCCATGGGCTGTGTCCTCCCAGTAGAAGCTCCCTGAGGGAAGGGACTGTTTGGTTCCCATTTTTGTGTCCCAAGCACCTGCTGGCACACGGTTCATATTTAATAAAAATTTGTTGAATTGAACTGAATACTATCTTACACAACAATGAAAGTGTCTCATCTTTTTCAAGATTGCCAAACATTTTGAGCATGACTCTGACTACCACATACGTACATAAAAACAATAATTAATTTTGAAAGGATGCTGAAGGGTTAGAAGTAAAACCTCTTTTATTAAGCCACTCTTTTGAAGAAAACAACAAAACTCAATGAAGGCAATAATTCATAGGAGATTTTTTTCTAACAATAGTGTAATGATGGGAAAGAATAATTTTTTCCAAAATGTTATTTTATTATTGCTCAGTGAAATAAAAAAAATAGCATGAGGACACTCAAAATACATCATCTAACATGTTAAAGAAGGCAAAAGAATTTCCAAAAATTACATTAAATATGTGCATATTTTTTATGAATTCAAGTAATAGATGAGGCTTCATGGAACAGTGGAAGAGGTACTCATAGGACCTGGCCCCGAATCTCAGCTCTGCTCCTTAGTATGACCGTGGGCAAATCACTTAACATCTCTGGGCCTCAGACTATTCATCTGTAAAAAAAAAAAAGAGGTTGGATTAGACAACCTCTAAGGTCCCTCCCACCTCTAAATCGATAATCTACCTATCTCCCCTTAACTATCTAATTGGGCAGGGGTGTGTGTATATACACATCAGTATGAAAATGTTGCCTAGGAAATATATTGATTTTACAATGATGAGCAAGCTAACATTTTCTAATGAAATTACAGTAAAATGGCTTTTAACAATGATGGAAAAGCTAATATGTACTAATGAAATAATAGTAAAATCAGGTTTAACTCTTAGCAACATTAGAAAAGCAAATCACTAAGCTGAACTGACAAGTAACTAAGTGCTTTACAAAATTTAGGTGGAAAAATAACTTAGTAGACCTTAATTCTAAAAGAAGGCCGTTTTTATAATCCAATTCTGAAAAGCTTGGCTTGTCTCACCTGACACAGCCCAACAAATTCATCTGGGGAGCTAGGGAAGGGTCAACCTTTCTGCCTTTGCATTTTCAAGGGAGAAGATTCTTTGTCTTCTATAGCTTTTAAAAGTGTTTCCTCTCTATTATTGATTTTTTGGGGGGAGCCTAATTCCTTGCTTTCCATTCATATGAATATGTCAGGGCCATTTCTGTGCATTGTAGAGAATTGGGGCATTGGAAACAAGCCAACCTTCTTCAATTTATGCTTTAAATGACTCTTTATAAGAAGTGCATTAGAAGGTTCCTACCTTTTAAGCAAGATGCAGCAGACAGTGTGATTAAATCAGATTGTTCTAGGGCTTATAATGGAAGAACCATTAACAGGTAACTTCAGAGGACAGGAGGAGAGGAGGGAAGTGATCTTTTTTCCTCCCCCTTTCACTAGAAATAGTTGTTTCTTGAAACCTCTTGGAAGGTTATAAAGTGATTTTCAACTTGAAGATACAGAGAGTAAAAGAGGCCAAAGTACTCTACATCTATTTTCAGTTATTGAGACGTGCCATATTGAGGCCGCCAGAGTCAGCCAGAATGATCTGAGACCTGGGGGATCATAATGGAAATAACTTATAGTAAAATGTATTCCCTATAGGTTTAAAAGCAAAATGAGAACCTAACTTTTTATTGCTAGTTAAATGAAATGTGCAGTCTTTTTCCCCTTTTAAGGTCAAGTATGCAGTATTTTGGAAAACAAACCATAAAAACATGATTAGGGAGAGAAAAGGAAGTCATTATTTTCTTCAGTCATAAAGAATGCAGCATCGTTCTATCAATCTAATGTATCTTTGTAACAGCCGTGGCAGCATGTGGCAGTGCTTAAATTGCAAATACAGTATTTAAGAAAAAGCTTGGATTAAAAGAGCACCACGATGAGCTGGGGAATATTCAAATGGATTAGATTATCTGGGTGAATCCCATTGCCTTCTCTAATACCTACTTAACATTGCATATTGACATGCTAGCTGCGTATAGCTATGCTTATAGACATGGAATATATATGTGTGTGACTATAGATAAGTTTACACATATGTGTGTGTATGTGTGTATATGTGTGTGTATAGAGGTTGGAAGATAGAAAGGTAAATATAGATAGATGATAAATTGATGGTAGGTAGATAAA